AGTGAAAAAAAAATTTATGCTTTAAAAAAATTTATGCTTTTTGCACAATTGGTTCTTTTTTTTATCAGCGTGATGATTCCATCGAGCACCAGGTAAAAGAGACACCATTGTGGTGAGATTAATGAACAAGAAAGAAACTGTGCAATGTGTCATTTGTCTATGAATTTTATCTTTAAAGTTTATTATCCTGAAGAATCAGTTGGAAAATCAAAGCTTGCAATTACCTACCACATGTGCTTTTTGTCTAGATCAATGACAAGAAATGTTTGGTGTTGTCAACAACATCGAAATATAATCCTTATCCTTGAAGCCCTGCTCAAGTTTTTTCCTCATTCTTCCTTGTTTCTTCTTGTTAATTTTAAATTTCAATCGCAAATTTATTTGAATAGGAAAATTTTAAAAGACTAAAATTCTTTTGTTCAAATGTCGTTAAATAAATTTCTTTTTAAATAAATTTCCTAAAAACAACTTGCGTATTTATAGAAAATGTGTAATCTTGATATTGCTTTCAATAAAATAAAAATATAAAAAAATGGGGTCGCATTTTTCTCATTCTATTCGACAGTTTTTGGTAAAACAATTTTTATGTGTTGAGAACATATAAGAAAATTGAAACATTTGTATGGCTAACTTTTGTGAGTCTTTGAGTATATTAAGTATATTAATATCAGGGTTGGCAAAAAAACCCAACCCAAAAAAACCCACCTTAAAAAAAAACAATAAAACCCAAAAAAACCCAAAATATATTTGGGTTTTTTTAAAAATGACCTATTTTACAACTGATAACTCTGATTTTAACACTTATAAATGCTTTATTATCAGCAAGTGCAACCTTTATACTGTAATTACTCTTGTAAACACTGTATTTATATACATAATGGTCTTATATACCCAAAATCGATCAATCTGTTTTTGTAGCAAGTTGGTTATTTATTATTTTTTTAAAACATTTAGCAAGTTATTATAAATGTTATTGAAATATATATTAAAACATTAAATTAGTTAAATACTTATAAAGGAAATAAAAATCATTCTATTAACTAAATTTCAAGACATTACTAGTTATTTAGTATCTTTATTCTCCTCTCGAATGTCTATATTCCTTTATATTGGTATTTGATCTTTTATTTTTTAAAGCTTATGTTGTAAACTGCAAAAAAAAAAATACAAAGCCACAAGCAAAATACTATATATAAAAATTATTAAACTTTATTTACAGTTTAGAAATGGAAAGTTGTCAGGCAAAAAAAAAAATGCTTCAGTTTACTAGATTTGTCCTTAAGTGCATACAACTTTAAAACTTAAAAAAAATTAAGTTATGTGCAAGCAAGCTTGCAACATGTTTGCTCATTCAATGAGAGAACATGTTGAAAACTTGTATGCATTTCACAACGACAAGATTTGTTGGTAAAAATGACACTCGTGCTCATCTGTCTTTTGGCAGGTTTTGAATATTTTGTATCAGCTACAAGTTTACAACATGTACCACCAACAGGGGTGACTATGAACAGCGGGTTGAAAATTAACATCAGTATCAAGTTGCTAAAAGGTGAAGAAACACACACACAATAGAGCTATATAATGTGTTACTTTGATTCAGTTTGCAATTTGCATTGCAAAACTGAGCCGGTAAAACATCTTCAAAAAAAAAACAAACTTGGTGGCGAAGACACTGTAATCGTTCTTAACAAATTTACTTTTTATATATTTAGAAACAAAGTTTAGGCAAAAATCCATTTTTTGCCAGTCCAGTTGATCAGGCCGATAACTTTTCCAGGAAGCCGGACAGTATAATGTTCTGATAAAAAAAATGTAGTGATTAGGCTAGCAGTTTTCTTCTATGATACAAAAATATTTAAAAAGTGTTCATAGTCATCCTGATTGATAATAACTTATAAGGTTGCAACATCATGTTGCAAACTTGTTGATTACATGTTGTAAACTTGTGCAAAGTAGTTTTTGAAATGATATGTTGAACATGTTAGTAAAAAAAACTAGTTTGCAACATTTATATTGTCTTACCAATTTTGAATAACTCAATTGTCATAATTTTTACACTGATTTTTTTTTAGTCAAAAATATTCTGAACATGTTTTTAATTTAGAGCAATTAATTAACATCATTTATAGTTGATGGAGTCCCTTTTTGCACTATAGGTAAAATGTGCTAGTAGACTAGTAGTAAAACATTTGGCTCGCAACCAGAAGGTTGGGGTTCAAATTACCTCTGCTGAAATTACTGTCTCAATCTATTTCTCCACACAGCGCCTTTGTTTAAAAATTTTAGTTGTTAATGTTGTTTGTTAGTAAAAATGGTAATGTTAAGGATTGAGACAAAATATTTTTAAAAAATGAGTTGCTCCCTTGACTGAAATGGTCATTGGAGCAATAGGGAGGTGAATTTATGAAATTAAAAAAAAAAATTATTGTACTCATACAATTATAAAAATTTGGTATTTTGATCGATTTTTAAAAAAACCCATAAAACCCCAAAAAACCCATTTGGGTTGGGTTTTTTTTAAAAACCCTGGGTTTTTTCCAACCCTGATTAATATAGTTGATAAGTTAATATTTGAGTAACTGTAAGTTACTGTAGTAACTTAACTAATTGTTTGGATTTATTTTATAAGTAAATTTACTGTGAAGTACTTTTTCCATTCAGTAAATATAATTTTAAAAAGTTCAAGGTCGTTAAAACGAAAAACCAGGAGGCTGAATAAGCACGCATAAGTGCAAGTGAATAAGTGGTATAAGTGCAAAGCATTGCAAAAACTGGCATAAATGTGAACTGGCATATGTGCAAATTGGCATAAGTGCGCCAAAAAATTTTGCAAACATTGTCATAAGTACGAATTAGCATAAGTGTGAACTCGCATAGGTGCGAAGCAGTTGCAAAAACTGGCACAAGTGCGAACTTGCATAAGTGCGAATTGGCATAAGTGCACTGAACAAATTTATAAACATTGGCATAAGTGCAAAATGGCACTTATGCTAGTTCGCACTAATGCCAATGTTTTCAAATTTATTCGACGCATTTATGCCAAATCGCATTTATGCCAATTTGCATTTATGTCAGTTTTTGCAACTTCTTTGCACTTATGCCAATTCACACTTTTTCCAATAGGTACTTATGCCAATGTTTGCAAAATTATTTGGCAAAAAATGTTGAAGCAAAAAAGTTGCTAGTTTCTATTAGCATTAATCAACTAATAGAAAAAAAAATTTAATAAAAATGAAGTAATATATATTTAAATATACTTAAAGTAGTAAAATTAATAATATAAAATTGAGGATATAATAACTTAAATTATTATTATTAAGTTTTCTCTTCCAGTAACTTCCAACTCTTATAGTGGTTGCTTGCAGCCTTGTTGGAAGTGAAGATGTTAAAAAAAAAAAAAAAAAAAAGTTAACATAGTGCAATGTATTAAAAGATAAAAACCAGGCTGTTTTGTTAAATGAAGAAAAAATTCTCTTTAACATCTTTTGCCTTTTCAATTTTTCGCTTTAACGACCTTTTAAAATATAATAGGCTTCCATGCAGTAGTTTAAAGTAATTTAAATTCAAAAGTGCTTTATGTTGAATCAAAATCTCTGCATTAAAGGGCAAATGATCATGCTTCTATTCAAAAGATAAATTTAACGTGATGTACTTTATGACAAAAACATTACTTTTAAGAATTGCCAAAAAAATGCTAAATTAGAAAAAAAGTAAATAAACAACCAAAAAAAAAAAAAATCGCGAAAATATTTTTTTTAAGAAAAAACTAATCGTGAAGGTGTGAAAAGTAATCACAATTTGCAATTGCAATATGCTGAATTTGAGCCCTGGGAGTGTTTGATGGAATTTGAGCTACTGTTAAGCAAATCCTAGTGCTAAGAATTAAATCTAGCCAATTCGAGATCAAGTTAGCAGCAGATTTTGCGTTAGCATTACAAGATGCAAATATCTGTAATTTATGTGTCAGAAAGCAAAAAAAAAACAGCAAAAAATAAAACTTGGATTCAGTTCAATTTTAAGTTATTAAAGAAAAGTAATATGTCAAAATCACATTATATTTATGTTCAGAATAATAACGTTGTTCTGATGCTATTTTCACCTGAGCATAAATAAATTTATTACAAAATAACAAAATTTTTTAAACATTATTTTAATTCCTTTGTTTTTTTTTGTCACTGAACCTTGTGTCACTCAACAAATTTTTTTCTGTAAAAAAATCGGTATGAAAACTTTGTTGTTTGTGGCGCTTTTTTATGACTACCTTATTGCCAAATGAATAAATTGCAGCAACAAAATTTCATTAGTTTAGCAAGAATTGAAGTTTTAGAGTAAATTTCATTAAAAAATATGCTGATAAAAAAAAACTTTTTTCTGCATTAAGTCACTGAATTCATGTTTATATTTTTGTCTTGTTATGATAATAAAATTTTGTTAATTTATAAAATTTTAATTCAAGATTGATTTAGAGTAATAAAAAATTTTCTTTGAGTTTCTTTGAAAATACTTTTATTAAAGAAAATCTCTATATAAAAAAAATATATATATGTATATATATATATATATATATATATATATATATATATATATATATATATATATATATATATATACATATATATATATATGACAGTAAAAATTAGATAAGTGTTTTTTTTACAAATTTGTTTCTGTTCTGTTCTTTAAGTATATTGAACACTATTTTTGGGTAATACACTTACACATTTGACAATTTTTTTTGTCTACCTAAATCCATACTGTTCTTTTTGCAAAACAAAGAATAATAAATCTAACTTATTGCTGCCTCAACACAAACCCTCAGCTGATGTAGTAGCAACTCCCTTAAATGAACTCCCTATATCAGTCAATTTAAATACTGAAGCCCCTGTCAGCTTCTTCTTTCATTATGATATTAGAGTGTCAATCTATGTATGCTTTTATATGTCTATAATTGTATATTTAATGCTATTTTTTAAGAAAATAGTATGATATTTATTTTGTAGGCAAGTAATTTTTCAAGAAAAGTTATTTATCCTTGTTGGCAAAAAGGATACAATGAAACAATTTCAGCTGCATCAATTTGGTTATCACCTTGTAGTGTGCGTCCAAAGAGTATGATATTTCCTTTAAGTAATACTACAGCATATAACTTTGTTGGAAATGGATCTTCTTCCGCATGTCTTAATAGAATAAAAGAATTGTTTTATAATACTACTTGTCAATTTGGAACATGTTCATTTGATGGTGTATTTCAGCCTCCTTTACGAGGTCATTTTATGGCAAGTGTTAATTGTTGACTCTTAAAAGTTGAAATTTACTAAAATTAAAAATATTGCATTTTAGCAAGTTATATTTTCGAATTAACATCATTCGATTTTAGTTATTGAACGTCATTTTTATTTGTGTATTTTTTTTCACATTTTTATTAGTGCTACTCCATTTTTATTATATTACTGTTATTGTTTTTACTATTATTTGTGAATGTTAGAAAAAATAATGTTTGTGATTTTGATTCTATTTTAACAAAAAATAGTTTTCTTATACCATTTAGGCATTTTCTGGATATGGTCATGTTGGCACTTTTTTTAATATTACAAAAGGTGATGCAATCAATGAAATAAAAACAAAAGGAGAAGATTTCTGTAAAAAAGATTGGAGCCAAGTAATTTGTATTTTTGTATTGTTTTTTATAGTTTTTAAATTTAAATTTTTTTAAAAAACAATTTTCTAATATGTCCAATAAATATTGCAAAATTGTTGTTTACAAATATTCAAGAATATGGACAAAAAATTTAGTTTCATTTGAAAAATGTATAATATTATAAATTTGTCTACCTTTAATTGAAAAGCATTAGATTCATTTAATAGAATGCTAAAAAAAAACTTTTATTATTGGACGTTTGACATCAATTTAAAAAAGTAGAAAAGAAAAAACTAAAGTTAGTTGCTGTCGAAATAATTAAATTATGGAAAAAAAATCAACTTTCCTAGTATTTCTAAAAAATAAGTTGGAAAAAAATTGAAAAGGTCGTAGAAAAATATGACAAGTATCATAAAAAGCCTGGCAAAAAAGAAAAATACTCTGTTTTTAGAGATCTTTTTGATATCACTAATATTAAGGGCATGTGGCTTAGTCTGGAAGATAGAAAATTTTATAACATAGAATTATTAAGTTCAGGAGATGTTGGTCACAGTACTAATACACAAGTGTCATTAGATCCTTCAGAAGTCAAAGTTTATAATGCTACTTTGACAAGCAAAGTAAATAATTTTCCAGTTAGCAGTTTAACTGCATCAGAAGAAAGTAATTCAGATTTAGATTTACAAGACAATTACAAACCAGTGGAAATTAAATATTCAAGAAAGAGAGTATGCAATAGAACCAAATTAACATCTAATCTTGTGATAACTTAATTTTTAAGACTTGTACTTAAATCAGCTAGAATCTTTAAAAAGTTATATAAAAAAGGTATTGAAAAAGAAACTCCAAGTCAGACAGGAATATGGAGATCAACTATAAGACAAAATGAAAGAAAGAAGAAAATTATTACTAAAATAGTACAAGATGGATATTTTAAAATGAAAATAATAAAATCAATTTAGTAATTGTTAAATGTGAAAGTGGAAAATCTCATAATATTTTTGCTTTAAAAAAATTGCTAAATGAATTTGATGCATGGAAATGTATTACAATGATTATATGTGACACAACAGCAGTAAAATTGAATTAAAATTGTAAACACAATAAAATTGAATGGTATATTTGTAAAAATACAAAATGCAAATGAAAACCAAAGGCTTTACTAAACCACAATATTAAGGATGTCAGCATCATATACTGGATCTCATTTTAAAACATGTTTTGGATCATTTTGTAAATTATAAATCAATAATTCCTGGTTTGATTATAAATTTGTAAAGGATTTAACCCAAAATTATGAAAATCTTCAAAAAAATTATACATTTGAGTCTAGTTATTACATAAACTTGGATGGTGAGATGACTTGAAATTCCTTTATAAGTTATGTGAAGCTTTTTGTAACATCAAGAATCAAATAGATTACCAAAAATTAAGTGGCATAAGCTTCCTCCATTGAACAGTGCAAGATGGAACTCTAGAGCATCATATGTTTTTATTGCCCATTTTCTTGTGTGAACTTGAAAGTGCAAACCTTTATTGCAAATCGGTGGGAAAAAACTTTGGTTCAGCAAACAATTATTTGATGATAAATTGCCATATGATAGATGCATTGACTGAACGTAAGTGTACAGCTGCTTTAAAGTGTTTTATGAAACACTGGAGCAAAGTAGATAGTGTACTTCATATTCCAAAGACAAACATCATTGCTGAATGTGGTGTTAAATTGATGGACGATCTCCTTAATAATTCAAAAAAATGGAAACATGCAAATGTAAAATTTATCGGAAAGAATGACCTGTGAAGCATTTTAACTACTTTGCAGAAAATAGTCACTTTTATTGATCCGCTTAGGTGCCATGTAGTTTTTAAATACTAAATATAATTTACAGTTCCTTTTATTTATTTTTGTGGCTATTTATAAATGTGTGGGAAATAAGCTTTACATGTCCTCATGTAATATGAAAAATCATGTTATCTAGGGAGGGGGGGGGAATATTTTTGCAACTAGACAATCAACAAAACAATTTTTTATCAATTACTCAACATTTCTCAGGTTATAGAAGTATGGCCACAACTGATTTAAAAATGTCATAACTCTAACGTACATACATAGTTTACTTATGTGATGCATGTATATGTATTGACTAGTAAAATATTTTAATGTTACATCTTAGTAGGAATTTATGAGCAAGATAATAGCTTTTTTTCAAGCAAAATATATATATATTTTAATTTTATTATAAGGGACACTACTATATTAAGGTAGTTAATTCTTCGTCAATATTTAAGGAAAATTTTTACCTTGAAAAAATATTGTTTTTTAAGTAGCCATTTTGATATTTTTTTGTTAATAGAAAATTTGTTCAACAAACACTATGAACAAATTTTAAAAATTTTAAAATTATAAAATTTTGACATGAAATTTTGAAAATTGTAACATATCTTCCAGCAAAACTCCTGTCTAGATAGCTTTATTCGTCGCAGTTTTTAACAGTTCACTCAGTTTAATCTAAAATTGCGCCATTATTTACAAAATAGTTGACTGTGGCTGCATAACACACAGGGCAAATTATCGTAACTTTTTCTGTATCGTAGTTTTTCTGATCATTTTCCGTTTCTTTTTCATTCTACTTTTAAAGATTTGGTTTTTTATAACAACTTTTATTTTATTCTAAATTTTTTTTTACAGGTTTCAAGAGATTATCCGAATATTATCACAAAGTTCTTAAAAAATTACTGTTTCGAATCTTTATACTCCTACGGTTTCCTTACTAGCGGTTTACATTTTAAGCCTGAATCTAACGATGTTCATATCCGCAAAGAAGTAAATGTTTTATTATTATGTATTTTTTGTATTATGCATTTTTATTAAAAAAATAAAAAATATTATTGTTATATATTTTAAGTGAAAAAAAAAAAAAATAGTGTTATATATTTTTTATAGTTTCATATATTTATTTATATAAGTTATAATTATTATAAAATTTACACCTTTAGGATGACGGTATACAAATAGGATGGTCATTGGGATTCATGGTCAACGCGACAAATTCCGTTGCAGTTGAAGAACCTTCATACCGGTTATCGAGGCAAGAGTATATTGCTCTCTTGACTTTTTGTTGTTTAGTTATTATGTTAGGATTGGCAATGTTGATTGGATGCTTTATCAAACGTAGAGTCGAAAACAAAGCTTATAAATACTCCCGCATAGAAAAATAAGTTTGCTTTTGCGAAAAATAGGCTTGATAAGTCGACATTTTTGTCTGAATTAATCGGAACGATAAAATATAAAATTTTAATTTATTCAATTATTGTATCAACAATTTCCTATTTATTTTTACATATTTTAATAAATATATATTTATTTTTTATTATAGCAATATTTTTAATCCATCGTTTTATAAAATTACTCGAGTTTTCGAGTTTTTAGTTTCTTTTTTCTACAAATCTGTTTAAATTATTTTTTTTCGACTCGAAATACAAACAAGACATTTTTGTCTAAGGTTTAAAGAAATTAGTAATTGATAATTTTGAATACTTCGAATTTCATTATCAAGAATAAAATATTTTTTTGTCAAGAATGGAATAATATATAGATTATTTTTTTTTAATTGAATTTAAACAATTAAAGGATAATATAGATTTATTAATTAAATAATATAACTGTTTTATTATTCTTTACCATTCCAACTTTATAAAACACTATTGTTGTTTGACGCATGAGTTTTGATTTCTAGTATTTTTGAAAATTTAGGATAAATTTTAAGACTGTCAAAACACTCAATTTAATCAGGAGTTACTATCATTTAACTAAGGATGTAACGAAGGTGTTAACTTTACTTTATCGGAGTCAAATCATATCATAGCAAAATATATATGCACACTGAAAAAAAGCTAAAAATAACTTAAAGGGTGTATCAAGGGTGTATCACATATCTCACTTTTTAAAGTAGTAAATTATACCTTAAGGTAGAATATAATATTCTAAAGGTGTATCACATATCTCACTTTTTAAAGTAGTAAACTATACCTTAAGGTAGAATATAATATTCTAAGGGTGTATCACATATCTTACTTTTTAAAGTAGTAAACTATACCTTAAGGTAGAATATAATATTCTAAAGGTAGCAAATTTCACCAAATATGACTTGGTACATTTTTAACTTTAAAGGTATAATCTTAAAGGGGTAGAATATGAGATTTACCCTAAAGTTAGAAATTTCTACTCTTTTTTTTTTAGTGTGTAAATTTAAGGTGTTACGGTACTTCTACTTCTTGAAATATCAGAATTTTTTTTTTCCGGCTCAGATAACTTCAAATTAGAAGTCATAACAAATAATTATTCTGAGTCACCCTTCGAGAGTGACTATTCAAGTTCGATAAACCTCCGTTACTTCCCTAAAATCAATCTACAGCATTCAAAAAAGGTCTTCTTGGATTTTTTTGACGGTTGACAAATCTTGGATTTTTTTAACGGTTATTCAATTATCTCTTAAATATTTTTTAAATGATAAATAGTTAAACAATTATTTAAATTTAATTTCTAAACTAATCCATTACCTTTCTAATGATATTTAACACATTATTATTGTTATTATTAATTTTTATTACATTAATTAGCTTAATATCATTCTGATAATATAGACTTTTTTTTTAATTTTTATTTCCGATACAGTACATTGTATTTCTGCTTTACTATTAATTCTCTGAATTGAGAAACGGCTCATTTTTCAATTCTGATTGAATCAAAACATTTGTTTCAAAACAAATAAACAAAAAATCAATTAACAAAAGGTTAATTGATGAATTGGTTAATTGATGAATTGAAAGGTTAAATAAGGCTTTATAAAATGAGTTTTTTGAGCTTTTCTTAGCAGTCCAAATATCAATAACATTGTTCTTGCTCACCTTTTTAGCCAAAACTTCTTTAATCGAAATAATAAAGTATCAATAACGCGATCTTAGACCAAGGTTAAAAGGAAGGAATTTTTTACATTTTTTAGTTAATGATCATTTACCCTCAGCATCTGACTCAGGAATAGTTTTGAAAGTCCGATGTATGATGTAAATGTCTGGAAAACGGCGTTCAAACTTCTTCTTAAAGAAGTGATTGAGTAGCTGCATTGGATTTCTTTGCTTGAAAAATGTTTTGTGGCCATTTTTAAAACGACGAACTTCTTCAATGAGATTCTCTTTGTTCACATCTCTCGGATAAAACCGTGCAAATTTTCAAGCTTTATTTTAAACGGATAGATCATCATTATTCAACAAGATGAAGAAAAATATATTGCCAACCATCCTGCTCGCCTAAAATCTTGAACCAATCTGCTCAATTAGACCATCTAAATTAAACTTGAAAACGTTCACTTTGAATTCTTTTGTTTTGCTGTCGTTGAAATAAAATGTGTTCGATGCTTTACCTTAAAAGCGCTTTAGTTTTTTTTTTTAGAAGCAAATTCAGTTTTAAATCCGAGCGGTTCAGCTGCAGCCACAGCTTCTTGGAAAATTTGCAACCAAGAGTCCATAATCTAAAGATCTTCCAGCAACTGTCTAATCAAACGTAGCTCGGCATCGATGGTAATGGCTTCAGATCGTAGAAGAAAATTAACGTCGTTAACATTGTATAAGACAATTAGCGTCGTTAGCTGTATAGGTTTTGTCTCAAAACTAAAAATACAAATTCAAAATATGATAATCATTTTTTTAAATTTCTTGTTTGGCTGAGCTGCTCACTGGTTAGACGTTTTCCATAGCATGTTTAACAGATGCCAATATTTTTCTCGGCCATTTTTGATCAAGTCGGTACGAGAGCCCTATCTTGACATGAATAGTCTATGCAGTGAAATGTCTGTTGCTAAAGTGAGAATCTTCCATCGGTTAAGACTTACACTAAAAAAAACGTACCAAGATTTGACAATCTGGAAAAAACAAATAACAAAGTTTATCTGCTCAGTATAAGATATATTGGGAGTACGATCGACTATGATTATAAAGTAAATATCATCCTATAAAGTAAACTTCTTCAACAGCTACACTTCATGTGACACCACCATATTTTCTGATGAACTCATTTTGAAACAATAAGAAGAGAAGTAAGGACACTCATTCTAGTGTCTTCTTGTTGATAACATCGTACATTTTCCAAGTGGGATGCAAAGACGGGGTTTTGGCAACTATTAAACTCCATACCAGCCAGAAGGTTTTCATTTTCTTTCTCATTTGCGTGTGTTGTTATATTTACAAACATTGTTGTATATAGTAATTATAACTAAATTATACAATAATTAAATAAATAATTCAAATTTATGTTGAGAGAGCTTTTTAATGAGTTACCTATAAAGGCTTAATTCCTAAAAGCCATGAAAAGAGTCACATCCAAAATTCTACAAAGAAAAATGTTCCATCTAGCTGTCTCAAACTTTATTTACTTCTAGAGTTCTGAATATATACCAGTGCAGCTGGTAAGACGAATGTCTGCCGCTTTCTAATCTATGTAGAAATTGTGGTGCAATGGGCTGGATTGATGCTGCTTCACATGATCTATGAGTTTCCTCCAATGATTCCTAGCTACTCCATTCCAACGAAGAATGAATAATTACCCGCTTTTGAATACTGCTTTTGTACTGAGAGCCCCTTTAAAATAATCACATCTTTTTGACTCAAACCTAAAAGAGGTGTTAGAATTGATAATTACAAAGTCAGGTTGAACATCACATTCTCTGCAAATAATAACAAGCAGTCGACACTGATAGCACTGAGAGCTCTAACGAAGTTTTCAGTGCTATTAGTGTCGACTGCTTCAATGACTCAATATCGACTGATTAGCTACCATTATAATTACCACAGCGTATCATTTTCAGTGCAAATCGAGCACAAGCTAACATATCTAACTGTTTATATGTTTACAGAATTTGCCCGGTTCCATCTTTCAACGCAACTAAATCCTAATTTTTTATAAAAAATAGTTTATAATTAATTATAATAATATAATTTAAAGTTTTATTTACTACTTTATTCTACTTTATTCATGTGCATCTTTACTCCGAATACTAGATTTTCAATCTCAAATACAAAAACTAAACAGGTTTCACATTGTCAGTTATTAAAATGTTTTCTATTTATTGTGAAAAAAAAAAACAAAAACTAACGGATCGTGTGGCGCCCCTTCAAGCTTGGCGCCCGGGTCAATTTGCCCCCTTTGCCCCTCCCTTTCGAAAGCCCTGTATATATCTTCTTCAATCCGAAATAAAAAAGCAATTTAAAAAAATATTTATGCATTGTTTGTTGTTCATTAAACTTTAACGACTTTGAAACAATAACGCAGCTGGCACAAATGTCTATAAGACGTCTATAAAACGTGTTATAGACGTCACAAATCACGTTATATAACGTCACAATTACACAAAGTTGTTTAAGTATTTTTACTAATATAATAGGGAACGCAAGAACAGGTCATTTGTGGAAAGAGTGAAAATAATTTGCATGCTACTCAAACTAAAAGCAGACAGTTCTCTAGAGTTGAAAATTGGAATCGCCCTAAAAACCAAAAGTTGCTCTCTCCTAAAATTAAAAATAAAATACCACAAGACTTTGCTAGTGTAAGGTATGTAAAATTGTAAGGGATTCACATTTCTACAGTCGGATAGCCTATGAAACAGGTGATATGTCAGCCAAAGAACAAGTTTCAACATGCATTTGCCGTGTTAATGAAGAATTTAGATTACAGAGCTTTTTATGGGATTTTACCAAATCAAAAACATAAAGAGCACAACTTTGTTCATCAGTTTGATGAAAGTTTTGTGTCAATTTAACCTAATTATCCTGAATTGTTGGAGTCAATGTTTTCAGGGATCATCCAACATGTCTGAAAGTATTCATGGATTGAATGTAGAACCTTAACGAGGGAAAGAAAAGTGTGGGCACATTACGTGCGCTGCCGAGCTCATAATATCAACTTAGTAGCACAAGATACTGTTGAAAATAAAACAAACATCAGAAATATAATGAATCTAGTCCAATCATTCGTCGCTCTTGTTCACGGGTCTCCAAAACGCCTAAAACGTTTTATTAAGTTTTGCATGATAGATGTTATGAAGCGATAAAACAGCATCGCGATATATCCGTAGATCATTCTAAATTTAAGAATGTTAAACTAAATGATTTTGAACCAGCACTAAGCTTATAGACTTCAATGACGTAATCTCTCAAACCATTCCATTGATCTGAGTTAGTAAAGCTAGTAAAAACCTAATTATGAAGTGCTGCCACATCCTGTACGTGTTAGTGATGTTCTTTTTGTCTCAGTAGGTTTATGATCTATTTGTGTTCTAAAAAGTCTTATAAACAATTGAATTGCCATCGCGATATTGCCTACACTCTTAATACCGATCTTTTGATTGATAAGTTTGTAACACATGCATTGATAAGTACGGTCACGTTTTACTCGAGGAAATAAATTATGCAGATTTATGCCATTTAAAAAAGACTAATCTCATTTATATTTTCAACTTTCACTAAATAGTTTGAGCCCATCCGGGAAAAACAAAACCATGACTTCTCTAATTTTCTCCATTTCTATGCGACACTTGTTGCATGACATAAAATCTTGAGAGGGAAAACCTTGCACAAACTCAAAATTTTTTATTCGGTTACAATTAGATGTGAGGGGTCGAGTGAAAAAGAGGCACACGCACCAGAGTGTGTTTTGTCAGGAAAAAAATACTTAAGAATATTTTAGATAGTTACGAATAATAAAAAATATATAACGTTTTCTTTCAAAGAAAGGGCACATGCCGATGATACTAGAAATCACTTAACAGGTGGCATGTACGCTTTTTCCTCTGGACCCATCATAATATGATGACATATTATGACAACCTACTTTGAATAAAAGTAAATTACGGAAACCGAATTCGATAAACAACTCGGGTCATTTTTAAATGTGAGATTTATTATTTTTGAGATTTTATCAAGCAAATTGTATCTTCCCAATACTATTTTAAAACATTTCATTTAAATATTTAAAGCTACTAATATTTTCAATAAATTCAAATAATAAAATAAATGAATTTATAAGATATCAATAATAGGAAAATTTGAGACCTAAAAAATTTTTTATTTGAAACAATTTTTACTATCATTTTAATTTTCAACCTCTTTAATATTTAAAGTGGTGGAAATAATTTCAAATATAAACAAAGATTCTCCTATAATTTCATATATATATATATATAAATATATATATATATATATATATATATATATATATATATATATATATATATATATATATATATATATATATATGTATATATATATATATATATATATATATATATATATATATATATATATATATATATATATATATATATATATATATATATATATATATATATATATATATATATATATATTTATTTATAAATACACACATACACTCCTTAGAAGCTTTTTAATAAAATTGATCAAATTGTAATATAATAATTTAAATTAAAAAGGAAATTTTAAGTTTTATGTCATTTGGCAATCAAATAGCTTTATTGTTTTCTATTTTTGAAATAATATGGGTAAAAAATTGTACAATTGCATGAAGCTAAAGTTCTATAAAAAAAATTGTAATTTTTAAAATTTAAGTTATGGCTAAATTATTTTCAAATTTTGTTTTCAGTTTTCACAGTTAAAAAATATGGCTGTTGATCAAAGGCTTGATTCATTGATCGGAGAAATAGAATCCAGTGATTCACCTATTGGACCTGTTTTAAGGTAGTATATTGTCATTAAATTTAATAACAACCAATAATTATCATAAACTTTTCATCTTTTAAAGAGCTTTTTTTTTAATAATTATATAAAAATTATTAATTTTTCAAAATAATATTTCAAGGGAGTTTAGGCCCTTGTTATCAAGAATAAATAAAACTTGATAAGTACAGAGTTATATTTATAGAAGAAGCTTTTTTTATTTAATTTATTGTTTCAATTATTTACGCTTGAAACAATATAGCTCTTGCAACCCCCACAACGTTTGTTTTGTTATGTAACAAGATCAGGTTACAATACACGCAAAATGTGCGTTAATCATACGTGATGAGACGTAACATTTTTGCATAACAAGATGTAATGTTACAAAGCTGTTACTTAACATGTTTACATAGCGAGTCATAATGTACATACTTTTATGTAATGCAATTATATGTAAACATTTTTACATATCATTAAGTATGTCTGTTATTTTTACATAACAAAAAGTAACATTTTTAACCTTACGAGATGTAACATTGTATCATGTGGTTCTTAAATATTTTATAACTTTTTGTTTTTTTATATATAAATGTCTTCATATATAAGTATGAAAAAACATATAAGCATGTGTAAATATAAATATAAATTTGAAGTTGAGTGTAAATATTAAAAATAGATGTAGCAATAGTAAAAAAATATACTATTCAAGCATTATAAATAATAAGTTAAAAGCATATCAAAGATAGTATAAAACATAAAGTGTATGGTAATAGTAGATTCAACTAATTTTATTATTATTGAAACTTCTAAATACACTCATAATTAAAAATCTATCATAAATATAGATTTTATTTTACGTAACATAACGTTTTTTTGAAACTTTTTAAAGTGTAACCACCAATTAAGACATACGTACTTTTTTTATGTTACGTTACATCTTATTTAGTTGCACTTTTAAAAGTGAAAAAAAAGCCAATCAAGTTGTAATGTTGCATATTGAAACTTTATTTATTTTTTTCGTGACAAAGTAACCAGTTGAGACGAAGCTATTTTACATTGAAAAATAAGTAAATAAAATAATTAGCAGTATGGCTATAATAAACAAACATTTACTGTGTTATCAAGTTTATTTAATTAAATTTGATTAAAAATAAGAGGGTGTTACTAATTGTAACCAATTAAGAAGTAATGAAACTAGTAAAATGTTATATGGGCAATGTCTTTGTTTATATTAATGTTTTATTTTAAGAAAAATAATAGTTTAGAAAAATACTATTTTATAACAATTATATCGAATGATAATACTGTTATATTTATGTTGAATTATAATAAAAAATGTAATATTAAATTTAGTTACTTAAACAAAAAAAATTGAAACAAAATAGACATTCTACATTATGTACATTTATAAAAAAACACTTCTAGATTTTTTTTTCTTAATTAGTAAATTAAACTTATTTTGTGGTAATTTATTTTATTACGGTACTTAAAAAACATTAATGTCTGTAAATGAAAATAAAGATAAAGATCAGGACTCGAATTAAGTTATTATTAAATTCTTAGTTTTTTAAAAAACCGTAAACACTGTTTTAATGAAACGGTCAGTTTATCATATTGCAAAAATTAATGAAAAAGAAAAACAATAAATTTACTACTGCAAAAATAATAACAGTCAAAATTTACATATTATTAATTATTGTTTTTTTAAACAATAATTAATAATATGTATTTTAAGGATTATAAATAAAGAAAAGTTGTAAGACAAAAATTATTATTACTAAAGGTCGGAAAAACTTACACGGTAATTTGAAAAACAACCAATGAAAAACTATTTGCGCATTGTATAATTACTTTGTATAAAAAAACAACCAATTAAAAAGTATGCTAAAGCTACTTGCGCATTATATAAAACATTAAAACAGATTTTTATTCAGGCGGAAAGTTTATTGAATTATTTATTTAAAAATTTAAATATTTTAAATTAGAATTTAATTATTTAATAAGAAAAAAAATTATAAAGTATATTTTTTTAAAATATGTTATTAAAGTTTCTTTTTTTTTGTTTTAAAGTAACTATTAAAAAGTTTAAATTAGTTTTTATATATTAACTCCTCCATCTTTTAATTTTATATTCGCATCAGCTAAAGTGTTACAAGCGTTAAATTTATAAGAAAATATTAAATGAGATTTAAATAAGATATAAAAGTATTTTATATCTTATTTAACAATTTCTTTTATTTAAAATATTCGATCATTGTTAAAGTCCTTTAGATTGTTGTGATTAGCGCTTGTTTTTTAATATTTATATCGTACTTTATCGTGCTTTATTATTCTTGTTTTATCTTTTAAATATTAAACTTTAATATTTTAATTTATTTTATAAAATATTATAAAATAAATTAAAATATTAAAGTTTAAATTATGATCTTTAATAATAATAAAAATAATAGTGATAATATCGTTTTACATTAATATTTTATATCATAATCAACGTAAATATTTTTTATTAAATGATATCTATCGAGCTTAGTGATCAAAAGAGTTTTATGGTTTTTAAAAAGCTAAAATTTTAAAGACCGGAAGCATTTCCAGATATCGCAATTTGCGATCACTTAATTCGAGCCCTGAAGATAATTTTATGACGTCAAAATCACAGCAAGCTAATGTGTTGAGCCATTTTTATTTAAAGCAAGGTCACCTCCCTAAGGTCGAGAAGGCCACTTCAATTTAGAAGGCTACTGCAAATATTGTTAAAAGCCTCTCTCAATTATATAACTCCAAAATATGAACCTTGACAAACAAGGCCACTGTGGAGAAACAAGTTTTTTGGGTTTCCTTTAAGTTTTGTTTAATAATTTTGTATTGAAAATAAAAAAAATAAATAAATTTGTTTTCTGTTACTATATTTTGATAAAAAGTTTAATAATCCTTGAGTATTTTTTGACAACAACAAACAACAACAAAAACAAAGCAGGAATCCTGGATGGGTCTTATGCCATGAATTGTAATTCTGATATTAAATTTTTTTTATGTGGTCAAAATATTTGCAGTGTTTACGAAAGTCTTTTTTATAAAAGTTTTCATAAAAGGTTTTACTAATAAATCTACCTTTAAGAGAAGAAAAATTTTTTATTTTTAAATATTTTTAAAATTATTTGCTATTTGAATAGTTGCTGTCTAATAAAATTAAAAAAGTTATTAAAAAAAACTGTTTTTAAAGCACAGAAATTTTCATTTTTAGCACAAAAATTATTTAACAATAACAAAAAATTTTAAAAAATCTAATTTTTTAATCTAACGTTCTTCTTGTAACGCAATGTAACGCAAATTAATATACAGTTTATTTAGTTACATTTCATTTAATAACATTATGTAGCTACACGTTGTTAAAAAATTTTATATATTTATTTACTGTTTATATATTTATGTAACTTTTATATATTATCTAAAAGTATTTTTAGATAATATATAAATTTTTCTTTGATGCAATATAGTCTTCCAAAAGGGCGACTATTGGTTTTTATCAGCAGTTCTAGTTTTTTTTTCTTTTTTCTTTTTTCAATTTAAGAATTTTATAAAAAGTAACTTATCTAAAATGATAATAAAACCATATTTTGAAAGTCGCAGTGTCAAAGTTTGTTTTCCACATTTTCTATTATTAAATAGCACATAAGAAAATTGTATGAACTTTTAAACATTTAATATAATGCTTCCTAAATAAAAAATAAAAAGTTTTATCGTTTAAAAAAAAATACTGTTTTGTTTTTATTTTTTTACAAATTTTATTAAGGATTTAGAGATTAAGTAATAGAACTAAATTTTCCAAAAAAAAAATACTTTGGCAGGCCTTTTTTAAAAAAGTTTCGCAGCTCGCATTTTTTGTTTATGTCGAAAGAGTTTAGGTAAAGAAAAAAATTTTCGTAAAATGTAATTGTCAAAAGTATTCAGTTAGGCGAAACGTTTTTTATATTTGGAATATTTAAATTATCATTTAATATCGTTTTTGTGATGCTTACTCAGAAAATTCAAGTAAAAAAAATTATTTAACCACAACTGAGAATTTTTTAAAGAAACAAATTATTTTATAAAAAATATTTTAATCTTAAAAGTTTAAATTTAGTTTTGAAGGTATTTTTTTTCTTATCGTCTGCTAAACAATTTATTGCGCAAAGCTTAAGTCTCTTCATGATAGATAATCACATAATATAAAATGCAAAAGAAAAATTTTTTAATTTTTTTTAATGGAAGGAGAAGTGCTTTTGTTCAAGAGAATTCTTTTCACAAATTTAAAATTTTTTATTTCTTATTAATTCAATATCGTGTAAAGTTCTTTTGACATAATACATTTACATACATGAATTACATTTACAATATCTTATTGGTAACTGATAAAATCTATTTATAAATTGTTTATAATCTTTAACTGGATCCCGAATTCCCAACACATGTTGTGTTCATATTAAAAATAATGTTAAAAAAAAGTTTTGAACCAAGTTTTTTTAATTAAAAATAAATAATGAATGTATACCGAGAAAAACTAATGTTGTTGCTCGCCTTCTCTATTTTTTTCAATAACTCGGAGTCTCCAAATTATATATCGCAATCTACAGACTTTGGCGATTCCTTTGAAGCGCATTTAATTCATAAAAGTTTTAGTATTTGACGTCACGGTAGACTTTTAACAAATGAAACTCTGGAAATTTAATTATTTATTTTTATTCAAAATTTTTTTGATTATTAGTTTAGTTTTTTTTTTCTATTTTTAACATTTAAAAAGATATTAAAAACCTCAAATATTTTATGCTGGTTCATTGCTATAAATTATTGCGCCATATATTTAATGTTTATAAATTATGAATATTTATTATCTCAATCAAGAATTTGATAAAAAATTGTTTTATACTAATTACCCGTATAAAATTAGTAACAGCATTTTTATTTGTTTAGACGATATTTCGTTTCAATTTGCTTTACATGAAGTTCGGAAAGTCAAACGAAAAAAATTAGTTTGAATAATCACG